TGGCCGGGGCGCGACGCGGCAGCCGAGGACGCAGCGGGACCCGGGACCCGGGACCCCGCCTGCGGACCCCGCCCAAGCGCCTAGAAGGACAGAGCTGGGCGACGCTCAGAAATCACCTCCCGTCCGTCCCTCCCTTTGACCGATGGGGAAACTGAGGCCTGCGGGGGGGCGGAGGCGCGGTCAGGAAGTAGAGAACCGCAGACCTGAGGCAGCCCCTGCCTCTCCGCTGCTGCGGCCGGTGCCCTGCTTTGCTTCCTGATGGGGAAACTGAGGCCTAGGGCGGGGAAGGGGCGCGTCCGAGGGCGCACCGGGGGCTCGGACACGGGAGCGCCGGGCCTGGGCTGGCTGGGTCTGGGAGGGGCCTCAGAGCGGAGCTGGGTTTCTCCCCTGCTGCGTGTTCCTGCCTCATTTTCCCCGCTGTAACCCGGGAGGTTACAAGAGCCGCAGGCCCACCGGCCCCTCCTCCTCCGTTCCTGAGCTCTTGGACCTCAGCCTCATCGGCCTCAGAGACGGGCCTCCCCGAGGATTGGTTTCTTCTGCACCGGGGCCGGGGTGTCACGGTCACCCCAGGACCCAGCCCCCTGGTCTCCGTCTTGACGGAGTCCCCCGCCCCCTGCCCCGCCAGGCCCCGCCCCAGGCAGAGGTGACTGCCGGGAACAAACGGAGGGGGCCCCGGATGCGCTGGCAGGTGGGGAGGGAGAGACGAGGCCTCTTGAAGCCAGATCGATAAATCAGAGAAATGAGATCATGGCGGCGCGGCCCCGAGGGGAGGGGGAAGGGGGGTGGGGACGCTGCCCCCGCCATGACGGCTCTCGTGTGTCCCCGGCCCACATCTGGACTGGTGTCATCTCTGCGCGTGGTCACGCGTGGGCTGCTTGAGGTTTGCGGGGCGCACACTGTGTGCCGTGCATGTCCGGGTATCTGGCCGGGTGGGGCGGCAGGTGGGTGTCCAGGCGTGGGTAGGGGTCTTGACACGGGGTGTGCTCCAGTTTGGCAGCCCCAGGCTGAGGGAAACGGGGTAGGAGAGAGCTGGCGCCCCCATCCGCATCCCCCTGCGTCCCCTCTGGAGTGCCTTCCACAGCCACCTCCTTCGGGGAGCCTGGGTGGCAGCATCTGTCCCTCTCAAGCTCCTGGAGCAGGGCCTCTATGGGTGGGGGGCTTGTAGAGGGTGGGCCCAGGTGCCATCCCCTCCCTGGCACCCAGAGGGCTGGGTCACATAGCACCATCAGTGTGACTCCTTCCTGTCCCTCGGAGAGAGTGTCGGGAACAGAGCCCACTGTCCAGGGTTCAAACGGGTGCTCATAGCAGTCAGTGCCCAGGGTCAGTGTCCACTCTCTCCGAAGCTCCATTACTTCTCAGTAAACACCGCCTGCCTCATGGGTTGCTGTGAAGCTTAGAAGAGCTTTATCAGTACCTGGAACACAGTAGGCACCTGTGCATGGCAGATACTGGAATACATCAAACTCCTATACGTGCTTCAAAGCCCAGCTTCAATGCTCCCGCTTCCAGGAATCCTACCCGGCTCACTGCACTCAAAACCCTGGTTCCACCTCTGGCCTCCCCTCGTCTCAGGTCCCTCCTCTGGTCCCATCCGGACCTCCTGGGGACTGGAGAGCTGTGGGTCTGGCTCTGGAGGGCCTCGTTTCTGTGACGTGAATTGTGGGAACCAAACCAACCTGTGTGATGCTGACAGCTCTTGGTGCACAGAGAAATTTATTGTCAAACAACTCTGGAGAGTGGAGTAGGGAGGGCAGGAGCCTCAGGTCTGCTTCCAGCCTGAGGTTGGGCCGGGACCAGGACCGGCAGCTGCACTTCCACAAGAGCCCAGGTTTGGAAGAAACCTGAGCTGTGCTGGGGACCCAGGCCCGCGTGGGGCCGGATGCCGAGTTCTAGAACACAGGAAGCTCCGTCTCTGTCCGGCCACTGGGGAGGGCAGGAGGGTGTCCCTTTCCCTGCCTAGGCTGGCCTGGCTGGGCCAGGAGAGAAGAAACTGGGTCACTGGAAGGAAACTCACTCTGCACCCTGCGTGGGGCCACAGGATCACAGCCCCCAGGGACGGGAAGGATCAGGTGACCTAGGAAGACCTTGGACAGTTCAGAAAAAGGGGAGGGAAGAAGGCTCCTTTCCCCAGTGCCCTCCTGGATTCTCTGAGCCCCTCCAGCAAAGCCAGGCCCCAGGAGTGGCCTGCCCACACCCAACTCCACAGCATAGGACACTGAGGCTTGGCCCAGGAGGGGCAGCTGGGTGGCCTGTGCCCCACAGGCTGTCAGGGCATGGTGTCAGTGGCCATGGTGGTGGCCCGTTTCGAGTGGCGGATGCCCATGGTGTAGGCTGGGGCCCTGGCTTTGTTCACAGTGACCTGCTCTGGGCTGTGGGTGCCAGGGCCAGGTGTCTCCTGCAGGAGGCGCATTGCACGGGGCCGCCCCAGCATGGTGAAGGCCGGCCGGCGCTGACGGTAAGTGTTCAGGTCTGGGCTATCGTACTGGCCTGGGCCTGGGATCTCAGCAGGATCCTGTGGGGGGCGGGTGGGGGGCGTTCGGCCCAGCACTGTGTAGCTGGGGCTGCTGGGCTTGGTGAAGATCTGCGAGCCCCAGAGAGAGGGCATGGTGTAGGCATTCGGGGCAGGAGCTGAGTTATCCAGGGGCCTCGGGCGGAGGCGGGAGCCCAGCGTGAAAGCTGGGGATGTCCGGTGACACACAGGGAGTGCCTTCTCTGGGCTGTAGGCCCCAGGGCCTGGCGTCACCTCCAGATCTGCAAGAGTGGGGAAGCAGGGTTGGCACTGGACAGTCTTCACCTGCTCAAAGACCATGCATGGCTCCGTATTGCCTACGTACGTCCTGCAGCTCAAGCAGCCCCCTGGTATTTCTCCCCTATCCCCATTATCCACGCACACTGTTTTCCAGGTTTCCAGGCCCTTTCCCAAGCTCAACCCTCTGCCAGGCATGCCTCCGTTTGCCACAATCCCCACCTCCAGGCTACCTTCCCCACACCATCCTTGCAGACAGAGCCCTGACAGCCTTTCCCAGGTTCCCCCTGGCCTGGGTATTTCTCCCTCCCCAGACATTACCACACTGAGGTGGGATGATCCACACCTGGGTCTAACTCCACCACAGATGGGGATCTCATAAAAAAGCAAGGGTGTGTCAAATCTACTCCACTCCCTAGCAGTTGACTTAATACATGTTTCTCTGGGTGGGTGGATGAGTGGTTGAGTGAGAGGCGAACGGATGGATGAAGGGATCCATGAATGTATAGACAGATGGATCCATGGACGGACAGTTGGAAGGGTGGGTGAATGGCTGGTGAGTGGGTGGGTGGATGGTGGGTGAATGGATGGATAGATGGGTGGATGGATGGTGGATGGTGAGTGGGTGGGTGGATGAAATGACTATGGATGGATTCATCAGTATGTGGGAGAATGTGCTGATAGAAGGGTGGTACAGTGGATGGACTGGTAAGTGGATGGACAGATGGACTGATGGGTAGATCAGCGGATCAACAGACGGACAGGAGGGTGGGTGGGTGGGTAGACAGATGGATGGGTGGGTGGGTGGTATGT